TAGACCAAATATAAAACTTAAAATAAAAAGTATCTTTTTTCTTTTAAGCTAATCTTGAGAAGTACTTTTATTCTATTTTTTAGAAGTTTGTGGTATCTTTATTGCTTAACTGAAAGTGTTTTTATATGTTTTTCAAGAAAATTATCAAAAAAGAAAAATTTTTAAAAACATATAGATCGGTGAAAGAGTTTTTCTAAAACTGTAATATATAATAAAGAAGTAATATTTGTTTGTATATATATATATTTTTATATTTTGACCTATGGATCTATAATACAAGGATAGGGCTTCCAAGTCACAATCACAAAGTCCAGAATTTAATACCATAGGAGGACCAAGTGAAAATTAACTCACAAATAGTACAAAGATCTTTCTACTCCATAATAATGATTAAGTGTCTCAATAAGGCAATAAAAAACTTGTCTGCTTATTGTGTCTATAGTAAGAACATAAAAAATATAATACAAGATTCTAAATAAGGCTAGTATAAATAATATGAGTTTCAATATAGAACTGATTTTGAAATAATCTAATAGAATAATAAATAGAAAACTCTATTCACTTATTATAACTATAATAAGATATAATACAAATATAGGTTTCAAATAAGGCTAATATAAAGAATATGTCATTTTTATAAAGAATTGATTATTTGATTAAAATATAAAAAGAAGGACCTGACTGCTTATAGAAATAATTAATTATACCTATAACAGACAAAACTTGGTCTGATGTAATGTTGACAGGTTTCAAATATAAAGTAAAAACTAAGTGATCAATATCTTAAATATATGACTGAACTTTAAGCAAGTAATAAGATAAGTTATAACACAAAACAAGTTCCTAGAAAAACTTTAAACACTAATTGAGTTATATAAAATTCTATATAAGAAATCTCCAATACCAGTGGTACTGAACATTTTAGATAAATTCTTGATACATTAGTTTTCTTAATAAAAATATCAACAAGTTATTTGATATGTTTTATAAATATAATATAATTGGATATTATATTTTTTTTTATTGAAACTTAGTATTTTTTTTTTAAAAAAAATAATGATAATAATATTAATAATATAAAAAAAAAATAAAGAACTTAAGTATCTAAAAAAAAACTTTTTCTGTTAATTTTCTAACTACATATAAAAAAGATGTTTGCAAGAAGTTTTATACTTTCTTGCTAATAAAGTCTTTATACCTTCATTAAAATAACTTGAAGCTTGTCTTCATTTATCATTTATATCCTTCCTTACTTGTTTATAAACTTTTTTGAATAAAAACTAGTGTCTCTAATAGTCTGAAAAAACTCAAATGTGCACTTTTTCTACTAAAAGCAAGAAGGTTTTGGAAAATAAAAGAATTGACAAGTAAAGTGTCACCTTATAAAGCTGGAAGCAGCAAGAAATAGATGTTCTGTTGATAGAGAAAGACATATTTTCTATCTTCTTACATATTGTCTTATACCTTCTTAAAGTATTTACTATTTTTTACAGTTTTCTTGAAGGATTTTGCCTATCTTAGTTTGACCCTGAATTTTTGATAGCACAATATTACCTGGCATCTTATTGGTTAATATGAAACATGTTAATAGCTGAATGTAAATAAACTTTTATTGATCACCTTACATGTTCCAATACTATTATTGATAATTAAAAGAGAAATCAAGAATATGAACTCCTCCATTTCTCCAAATAAAGTTTAACTAAAGCAAAGAAATCATAAGGTTATTAGGATAGATACTAAATTTTCTAGATAGTGAAAGATTATTATTTGTTCAAGCTGAGGCCTTCAATTTTTTATCATCCCAGTCAGACAAAGTATGTAAAGAAGATTATTTTCTTATTTCAGTCAGGCTGTAAGACCAAAAAGCAGAGAAATGTAAAACACTGTCCTTCTCTAGGATTGAGAATGTATTTATTCAGATATTATATAATGATATTATAATTAAGATTAATAATAGTAAAATTCCTTTAACTAGGTGTGACTGCTAAAAGATATTGGAAGTTACATAACAAGACTGAAAAGTCACATAAGAACCTAATGTCCACCATTAGTTATTTCTTCTGTATGGATAAATACAAAATCAAGACCAAAAGAAAAAAAGCATTGAACAAAATACTGGATCTGCATAGGCGATAAGTACCTTAGATAATCACAAGAAAATAATCAAAAACATAAATGGATAAGTTTCTTAGACAATTAGAAAAAAGAAGAATATCTCAGAATAATTGATTCTTAATAAAAAGAGGTTTTTAGCAAAGGTTCTTTGTAGAATATGAAGTATTTTTAATTTTCTTTTTTCCTTTTTATTTTTATATAATACATTTGTATATTTTTAAATATTTCCCTTTTCTTTTATTTTTTTTTTTATAGTTTCTTGAATTCAGTTTCCTGGAGAATAATAAGTAGTGACAATTCGTTGACAATAATGGATAAGTCAAGAGAGTCTTTACCCAGTTCAAAGTGAAATATTGTTCCAAGGTTACACTTAAAGGCTAAAGCTCTTTTGAGAATTGAAAGCTATTAACAAGTATATCAGTATATGTCTTTTAGTTTAATTATAATGCAATTATCCTATATATCTCTATCAGTTTTCATATAATTAATAAATATATAATATTGATCTAACCATGGGTTTAAAAAAAAAACAGAGAAAGAACTTAAGTATTTATCTAGATATTATTATAACAAAATATCAAGTCTTAAATTAATTGAACTATAATAATAATTTAAGCATAATAATTTTTTAAAAAGTAAATATTTTATATTAAAATAATCAAGATTAAAATTCTTTTTTTCTATTGATTCTTTGACTATATATAAAAAAGATGTTTGCAAGAAGTTTTTATACTTCCTTATTAATAAAATCTTAATATTTTCCTTAAAACAACTTAAAATATGATTTCAAGGGTCACTTCTATATTCTTTTTCTATTGTCTATAAACATTTTCATCCAAAAACTTGAATTTTAATGATCAAGAAAAATGAAGTAACACCTCTAATCTCAATGAAAAGAAAGTTTTCAAAGAAAGAAAAACTGATTATAAAGTATTTAAAAATCTATTTAACTTTTGAAATAGGAGATTTATGGAGATTTTTTGTAATAAAAGAATTTTTTTTTTTTAACTGTCTTGGTCCTTTTAGAGTTTCTACTTTCACAGTTTTTTGGAAAATTTTGTTTATTTAATTTGATTCTAAAATTTAAATAGCATAAATTCTTATCAAAGGTGATTGACTAATATAAAATATATCAGTTTTTGAAATGTAAACAAGTTCTTATTGATTATATTTATATATCTTAATATATCATTGATAATGTAAAAAAGAAAATTCTAGAAAAAATATTTTTTCTAATTATATATATTCAACATTCAAAAAACAATTATAATACTGAAAAGTAAGCAATATGTAGAAAAAAAATTTTTAACTCTCATCTCTTATTAAGTTCCTTAGGTAGTAGAAAGGTTTTCTTAAATAAAAGCTAAAGTTTTCAAGCTTCTATTCTGATTAAACAAAGTTTTTAAAAAGATTTCTTTATCCTGATCAGGTAAACTCTTCTATAATATAATAGTGGCTCTAGTAGTATTAAGTAAAACCATATATCAGTAAAAAGATAAGTTCTTCAAACATTCTTCTTGAAGTCACTTTCAAGAATAATTAAGTTTTTCAAATATTATGAAGCTTAGAGAATATCTCAATCAAATAAATTTCTTTTGAAATGAAACTATGAAATAAAGCAAAAATCTTTTGAAAATCTTTGAATTGTATTTTTCTTTTCTCCTTTCTAGTGTTATACTTTAGCAATTTATTATTTTTTAGAATAATTAATAGTAACAAACTGTTAATAATAATCTTAATAGTTAAAAAAGCCTTAATTAAACTATTGGGAAAGTGTAATATTGTTTCTTAAATCTAACTTTAGACTTAGTTTTGTTTAATTCAAACTAGTTTAGTGGACTTCTTATATTTTTTAAGTAGTATAGTCTTTTAACTAATAATGTACAACAATGAGTTAATTGCTTTGTAAAAGTCTATAAACATTATGATATCTTTTAATATCTCAATAAAGATATGCCATTATGACATGATTGCAAGTTAAAAAAAAAAAAAATAAATAAAATTGTTGAATCAATTAAAAAACTTTTTAAAAAATTTTTGAATTGTTTTTTTTTTCTAATTTTTTAATTTAGTACCAGGAAAATAAAATATTATTTTTTTAAATCTGACTTAAAATATCTAATTTAGACTTTGTTTTGCTTAATGTTTTAATCGAAATATGTTATAATGGTATAATTGTGAATTAAAAAAATAATAAGATTGTTTATTTTTAAAATTAAAAAGCTACAGTATACTGTATACTGTATTTTAGATAAATTCTACATATAAAATTCTTTGACATTATTGGCATTGCACGATAAATATTATTGCATTTATTATTATTATTATTCGCAATTTAGAATGTTGCAAGTTAGAATTAATGAAAGAACCGCTTATTTACAGTAGTTTACCGAGTAGCTTTCATATTTTTTTCTTTCCTCTTATTCATGTCGCCCGGGTGATGTCTCCACTTCTTGCGAGATTTGGTGAACGAACATAGTTGGTTGGTTTCATGCAACCTCATGCTCTTGATGCCTTCCGTCAATGTCTCCACTTCTGTAGATGTCCTCTTGAGGAGTCCTTGTTTAACCCTTTTGCAAAACTGTTCAAAAAAGACCAATTCAAAAAAAAAGAGGAAACGATTAAAATAAATAAAACTTTTTAGCTTGCCTTCACTTTTCTGCTTTTACGTTGTACACAGAAGCGCCTACGGCGATTTCTTTTTTCCTGCTTTACGTAATTTCGCGCAATCATTTAACACAAATGTGTAAAAAATAAATTAGCGCGTAAAACTGTATGTAAATAGAGATTGCATCATAGTTGCGATCGTCATTACGTAATACATCATTATATTAATATTTTCCCAAAAAAACTTTTTTTTTGATTTGTTGAACAAATTTCAGATGGATTCGGCATTTCGCCATCATTCACCATCCGAAGACTGTGTTTCTTATTCCCTTTATTTTCCTCTCCTTACACAAAACCCATCGGATTCGGGTGTTAAAATCGAAAATTTTGATCAATCAAAAGAGTCATTCCAAGATTCCAACGATGATTTCTTGGAATTCCTTCGGGAAACAAGTGCACTGATACTATCGGAGTTAAAACGATTTTTGGATGGATACGTTTGGCATAAAGAACCGTTCGGATTGAGAATTGTAAAAAATCCTTCAGGCAATTTATTTATATAAAAACAAAATCTAATGGAAAGTGTGTTTAACCAACGTATTTATATATATTTCAAATTTATTATGATGTGACAACAGATTCAGAGATCCCTTTTCTACACGGTAGAACAATTTTCGGAGACTGCATAGAAGACGAATGGTTTATTGTTTTTTTATTACGCCACGTTTCTGTTAGGTATCCGGATGTTGCAATTAGGTAAGGATTGTTTATCTTTCCGGGTAAATTTTGCAACTTTCCATTCAGACTTATATATGAAAAATTTCGCCTTTAACAGTGTTTCAGACAATGATGGGGAATTTCTATTGATCGAAGCTGCGATGCGACTTCCTTCTTGGTTGGATCCCAGTAACAGTGAAAATAGGGTGAGTTTGATTAGGCTTACGTGTCAACTCTTCTTGCTCGATGTTTAATGAAAATGGTATCATACAAAACATAATAGATTTTTATATATCGAAACGAACTTCACATAATTCCATTATCAGAGTCCTCGAATGATGAATCGCAAATTCCAGAGGGAACACTGACCCTCGAAAGAGCAATTCAATTGGTGCGTAATGATAATGTCAATACAAGGGCTGATGATAAAATACAAACAGCAGTATTTGCGAAAATAAGAGAGTGAGTAAAATGCGAGAGTTTGAACAAAGAAATGAATACCGAATGCAATTGGGAGGTTCCTTAGTCCTTCGTATATTGTTGCGTTGTTTATCACCATAGCTTAAATATCACTAGCGTTTTTATCGCGTGCTTAAAATCTTCAAAATATATTTTTTTAGGTATCCTGACAAGATCAAACAAAATTTACATCACGCTCGATGTCACATTCCAAGAAAGATAGCTCACTTGTTGTACCATGATCCGCAATTGGTCTCGTCAGCCGTAGAAGCATTTTACACTCGCGATCCCATTGCATTGAAAGTTTGTATCGTCACATGTAGCTCTTCTCAAACCGATGCTTGTATTTAAATTTAAATTCACGTTATTCCCGATGTCTTGTTTATTTGAATAGGCATGCCAGAAGATGGAGAAATTTCCGCCATCCACATCAATAACGGTTACTGTGAAGTTTACGAAAACCTTGTATGCGCAGATGGTAGGTCAGAAATTCCAGCCACCGAAATCCTTTAAACTCCCTCATAAGAATTCTATTGAATATCAAGCTGCAGAATTAGGAATGAAGTTGGTGAGTTCTCTTATCTCTTCAGTATCGAGATTATTGTTTAAACTCGTACTCAAAAAAAAAAAAAAAAAAAAAAAAAAACTAAACAAAACAAAACAAAATACAAAATCCGTGTTTCAGGCGTGCGGATTTGAAATATTATGTACGGACAAATATTTTACCGAGTTACCATCTGAATTGGATGATATAGACATCGAGGTATGGTGGAGTACTTGGCGATCGACTTCTCGCCTATAGTCAAATACTTATCAAACTTTTCATGATCATAGAAATATCCCTTTAATTCGGACTCTTCGTGGCGAATATTTCACGCAAACTTATTATCACGCGATTATTATCGTGGTGAATTACCGGGATCTAAATTGTACAAACAATTGGACGAAATCGCCAAGAGACAATTTTTGCAAAATAACAGTCACGAATGTCGATCAACTTCATCGTTAGTGTATGCTTTCTTTCTTTTTTTTTTTTAAAAAAAAAAAGTAAATAAAAAGGATCAATCAAAATTTGTGCTAAATGAGACGTGTCCCTTTTGATCGTAGTGATGATGAAATAAGGGGTTGGACGTCTCCGGTGAAACGGATTAATGAAATACTAAGTAGACCGTTGATTTCAGACGAGGTTTTGATAGCGAACACAAATGAAGATGATGATTCATGGTTGAACGTTGATCATAAACAATTGGAAGACTTGCTCGAAGCATCCAATAAAGACGCTACGGAATATGAGGAGATAAAAAGAGATAATGTAAGAAAAATAGGATTTTTCGGTCGATGCGAAATGATTGTTAACTATTTCGTGTCTGAAGTCAGACGATGAATTAAACGTATTTGACTTAACAAACATGATCGATAAATTGGAAAGTTTTATTAATGACGATGCGGGTCTTGAAGGTGCCGAATTTTTCGAGTAAGCCAACGTTTCATTATTATCTCGATTATATAAGATTGGCGCTTTATGGGCATAATTTGAACGAATCTGAAACCTAGTGAGCATGATTTGGATGAAGATGAAGATGAAGATTTTGAATTCGATGCTGATAACAGCCAGGTTCAATTCGAACCAGCAGAATTCTTAAGAATAATGCGACAAACGTTAGGTTGTTTTACGTTTTATTTTCTTTGTTCGATTGGTCGATTGTATCGTATTATAAACCTATGATCTATAATTACCTCTTATAGGAATGACAGACGAAGAATATAGGGAATTGGCAAACACAAAGATAAAGATGCAGCAAGGAGAATCAGAGCAAATTGATGCAAGTAAGTATGCATTTTTTTTTTTTTCGAGAAAGATACAGTGAAAGCGTGATGCTTATGTAAATTGTTGCTACACAGGTGAGTTCATGGATCAGTCGCAATACATTAACACCGAAACGCCGCCGCAACATGCAAAAATTGTGGAGTTGACCGATGATGACGATATGGAGGCGTATTTACAAGCTTTGGATGCTGAACTGTCGTCATCGAAAGTATACGAATCATTTATACGTTCTCCAGATCAAGTCATTGAGGATATTGAAACAAATGATGATATTGAGTTGAATGAAAAGAAAGAAGAAAACGACGGAAATGATAGTGATGAAGAATTAAATAAACCTGTTAATATTGATCTCAATCTAGCAAAGAATGTGCTCGAAAGTTTTAAATCGCAAGAAGGGTTACCGGGACCAGCAGGGAACATCCTCGGGAGAATTGGAGTCGGTGTAATTCCTGTAGACTCTGATGATGAGGATGATTATGTGGAGTCTCCCGATGAAGATGCGTGAGGGAACTTTACAGTATATGATAAATGTCGACCGAATCAATGCAGAGAAATTCGCTTATCTGTGAGATCGAATTATATTTGCTGTACAATTGGAATAATTTAATCAGAATCACGAAATTAATATTAGTCGATATGTTTAATTAGCAGAGGTGTTAAAATATTTGACGATGAAAGTCGCAGATGCTTATTTTACTTTAATTCTTATGAGCGAAGGATCATATGTCAAGATGTTACATTTATGCAACACTTGAAGTTGGACTTTAGAAAGATTTTTATTTAATAATATTTTTAAATAATAATATTGTTTTGGATTAATTTAAAAACGTGGTATGGATATCAAATCTCAGGTAGTATATGTCATGTTTTTAAAATGACTTATTCACAAAAAAAAATTTTTTTATCGTCTTTAACACATCTTTCTCTAAAATTTAAAATTTATTTGATAAATGTAATGATGATAGGTTTAATTCATATCAACGTTGCACTTAATCTCGGTACAATAAAATAAATTATTATTATTATGACTATAATTATTATAACTATAATTGATAAAAACAGTAGGAAATCATATCATCATATAGGTACAATTAATGCATCTCTCTAAATAAGAATGACCTGCTACGGTACTTTGGCGAACATTTCAACGGACGATCACGAGGTTGTACCACGATCTCCCTGCGGATAACTATAACTCGACTGTCTTCCACTACAGCCAATATCTATAATCAAATAAAAATTAACAAGGAGCAAAAAAAAAAAAAAAAAAGGATCGACAGAGACGAAATCTTACAACAAACTCTTCGCTCGACAGTGTCGGTGTCATCAGGCAAAGGCGCGGATTCGGAAATGGTGATGATCATCAGGACCATCAATGACACCGAGAGGAAATTGGATAGAAGGTTAAAGAATTTCATTTTTGCAGGTAAGCCTTGGTAAATCACCCGAGGATCAGAATTATTTTGGCAAGATGCTTATCGGTTTAAGAACCAGGATTCAAGTCGACGAGGAGAAAAAGGTGATGGTCAAACACATATTTATATAATTCTCTTTTCATTGCCTTCGACCCAGAACGCATGTATACAAATTTCCAACGATCAATAACGTTAGTCGATAATAATGGCTTTTCCTTCTTTCCTTAATTTGTTATTAAAGTCCTTCCATTAATCGTCAATCTAGGAAATACGGCAAATTTCAGCGTTCGCAGGCATATTTTTTTTCTAAATTTTGAATATGCCATTCATTAATTGCAATGCAAGATGCCCCAAATGCTATTTACACAATTGATCGAAATGAGGAGAAAATCATGAATTTCGTGATGCCGTGTCATCAAATAAGGATTATTAGGCACATACAGTTTTTTATTCAACTTCATTTTAAGAAAACAATGATCGGCCGGTTATCATTCCATTGTTTTCTATATCAGCACGATAAGGTTACACATAACACTTAATTAGTCATATTATCAATGTGCATGTGTGCATGAATCGATGATGTGTAAAACTGTTGTATGCTGTATATCACCGAATGCAATCCTCTCATCTTTAATTAAGAATATTCCCGAAACGGGAGTGAATATTTCGTGCGTAGGCGAACGTGGTGGACGGAAAAGCCAACCAGTGTTATTAATTACGTCTATACATACATGCATTCATTTACTCGCATAATCATACGATCTCTATTTCTCTCATCATTCGCCTCTCAACTATGCATTGAAAATTTTTTTCTCTCCTATTGGAAATTGTTTCTCTATTTTTGGTTTCCATTAATATTTACCATGGAAATTGTGATCAAGAGCTAACAAAGATTTTTAATTCTTTTATCCATTAAAGGTTAGATGGAAATATATAGTGTGTTATGCTTAATGTCATTATTAAAGTCGCGTGCCCTTTTTTCTGTGCAATCATGCAATATATTGTTTGGATGAATTTTCGCTAGCCTGTATTACCTTTATACAGAAATTGATTACTGCAATTCCGTAAAAAGCATCTCCATCTTTCGTTAGATTGCAAATGCAAACACGAATACATGTGCGGCATACAGTCGCAGTTCTGCCTGCGTAAGCATAATAAAATCTATCAATGAGGTAATTGGTGGATATTTTAGATAAAAATTTTCGTATTATATCATTGATCAATATACAGTACAAAAACTCGGATTTATTATTTCAACTTGTAAAATAAATAACCAAAATTTACTTGTAAGTACCTTTGCAAATTGCCAAAAATAATTCTTGCAAATGATAAATTAAAAGGATCACGCACTATACATTAGTATTTAAACAAGAATTTTTATTTTTATTTTTATTTTTTTGAGTACCCATAGCCAGGTTAGATTGTTAGTTTATTAATCAATTGAAAACATATGTACATTTTCATTCGAACAGCATAATACATACTACAGCTAAACTATTAATTCTAATCTAACTAACCCATTGTAAATATAAAAGCCTCTAAGTTCAGCCTTGAGGACAATATTTTGTTCTACAGTATCTTTGAATAAAACCCCTTCTAGTCCACTACATTATTGCCAGCAGGTTGTTACTGCTAAATATTACATCAAGCCCCTAAAATACAAGAAACTACAAAAAGATAGGTTGAAAAAAGAAAAGGAGGAATATTTAAAAATATCTAAATAGACAACAAGAAAATGAAAAGTAAAAATTGAAAAAAATATTTTTAGATTCATTCAAAGACCTACTTCTCAAGACCTCTTCTCAATAAGAAATACCCAATTGGAATATTCTTTCTTTACCTAACCATCTAAGGAATTTATCCATTATTGATTTTGATTTCCTTATTGTGTATTATCTGAGAAAACTTATCATTTAGTGGAAACATTTACTTCTAGGACACACTTGGTTTCAACCTTTTTTAGACAATAATTTTTTATTCACCTGTGATAAGAAGATGACTTATGATAGATCCCAGGTTCTTATGTGATCTAGTAAGAATTAGATCCTATTGTTTTAATATAATACCTTTCAACAACTATGCCTAATTAAAAGAATTTTACTAGTATACATTATCCATTATTCAAAAGATCTGATTTTTCAATAATTCTTTTGCCTTGTAATAATAGAAAAATCTCGAAAGTAATGTGAATCCTTATCAATTACAGTATCTTTTAACAACTTCTGGAGAAATACATTTTCAACTATAATCAAAGGGTTGAAGCTCAGTATAAACTAAAAACTATTTAATCTTATTATTTAACTGGAATAAAAAGAAGACCTTGATCTAGAACTTTGCTTGACTAGAATGGTAAAAAAGAAAAACTTTGACTTGAATAAATAGTAGCTTTTTCATCACCTGAGAACTTGTTGCTCATATTTTATTAATCTTATGGAACTTGATTTATAGATTAATCCAATTGAAGATGTGAAGCAGATATGGGGCACCAATCAACTCTTTCAATTATCAATGAAGTTATTGGAACATATGAGATAACTAATAGAGACTTGTTTATATTTAATTACTAATATATTTCATATCAATCAATCAAATACTAGATAACATTGGGTTATCAGAAATTTAGAGTCAAACTGAAGTAAGCAAAATTCCTCAAAAAAATAATGAAAAATAGTATATATATTAAGAAAAAATAGAACACCATGTGAGAAGGTGAATAATAAGTCTTCTCCTACTAACAAAATCTCTATTTTCTATCACTTTTAGCTTTGTAAAGTGACATTTTATTTGTTAGTTTTTTTATTTCTTAAAACTTTCTTGCTCTTAATAGAGGAAGTGTATACTTAAATCTTTTAAAATCACTAGAAGTCCAAGTTTTTATTCAAAAAAGTTTATAAACAAGTGAGGAAAGATAATAAAAATACATGAAGATAAGTTTCAAGTTGTTTTAATAAAAGTATAAAGACTTTATAGCTTTTGTGTATAATTAGAGAATCAGCAGAAAGAGTTTTTCTTATTTAAACAAGAATTTTTATTCTTATACCATAATAAGTATTTTATTATAATAAATATAATATTTAGAAACAATTAGAATAAATAATTATTTATACTATTTAAAAATTTATAGATTATTGAATAGTACAGAGAGCTAGTTATTTATATCTCACTCAATCAAATAGAATAATTACATAACCGTATATATAAATACATCTATTTATTATAACAAAACTAATCAAGAATCAAACTTTTACAAATTGTATATATTAGAGTATTTTCTAGGATTAAAATCTGGATAGCTTATTGTTATTCCAAAAAGAAGTTAATATGCCAAAAATTCATTTGTGATACTAAATATTGTTGATATTAAAAAACTTTAATTTTATTAGTACTAAAAACAAAAAATTTTATAAGAAAAGTTATATATGAATCTTGATATAAGAATATTAATTGTTAACTAGCTATATTATTGATTTACAATAAAATAGTGAGTATTTTAAAACTTTTAAAAAAGATTTTTTTTTTTTTTATAACTTGTGGTTAGGCCAGTACTGTATGTTTATTAATCATTAAAAAAACTAATAGAGATACATAAGGCAATTACATTATAGTCAAACTAAAAGACTCATACTAACACACTCATCAATGGCTTTCAATTCTCAAAAGAACTTTAGCCTTTAAATGCAACTTTGAAAACAATATTTCATTTTGGACCAAGTTTTGGATGAAAATTCTTCTAACTTATCCATCATTGCTAGTAGGTTGTTACTATATATTATCTTTCAAGGAACTGAATTTAAGAAACTACAAAAGGAGAAAGAAAAAAGAAAAGGAAAGGGGAATATCTAAAAATGTATAAATACACTATATGAAATAAAAGAAAAAAAAAAGAAAATTAAAAATGCTTCATATCCTCCAAAGGACCTATGTTAAAAATCTCTTCTCATTAGAAGTCAACCCTTCTGAAATATTTTTCTTTTTCCTAATAATCTGAAGAACTTATCCATCTGTGCTCTTGATTATTTTTTTGTGACTATCTGAAGTACTTATTGCCTATTCAAATCCAGTGTCTTTTTCAATGTTTTCTTTTTTTCAG